TTTTTTTTTTTTTTTGTCAGTATTGAGTTAGAAACTTCACACTGGCATTACCAGATCTAGCAGCAGCAGCCAGGGGCCTTTGTCCCGGGCACCAAAAAGCAGATACCATCAGGTGTGGAAGTGCCTAGATTGTTTCGAGTGGGTCACCCACCTGCAATGTGTCCTCCCAGGCACACCGTCCCGCCCCTGTTCATGCCATCGGTCCCCAGAGAAGGGCTGTCTGGGTGTAGGATTTCTGAGCTGGGCAGGCTGAGCTAGCTCAGGTGAGCCAGCAAGACCCACACCTGTGTATCCATGAACACGTGTTGTCCGTAGCCTGAGAGGCCTGGCGTATTCTGAAGGGTTCCAACGGGATGCTGGTGAGCATTTTGGGCTAAGCCATTATCCTCATTTGGTGCTGCCTCATACCTGTGGTCAGGCCCAATAACCTATAGTCTCGATTCAGGAAGAAACAGCCATTGATTGGCTAGCCTGCCCTGCCACACCTGGCGTCCCATCTGAAAACAGGGCGGCACGTTGGCAGGTGAATTCCTGAATGAGGTGGCGGGCGGGCTCTCCCTTGCTCCCAACAAAGGAGTTACCACACAGCCATCGCTTGAGCTTTACTCTTGTGCTTTGACCTTGACCATCAGTCCCCTCCCCCGCCCTAATCTTAGAACATAGTGGCCTTAGAGAATGGGTTCCATTTGGTTCCAGGCTCCAGCCTGGCTAATGGACTGGGCCTCGGGAGGTGTGAGAGGAAAGTTTGCTGTTTCAGGTGAAAGGGTTGCTGGAGCATGTTGGTTGGAGGTGAACCAGAGGCATGTCAGGGGGATGTGTGTTTGGTGGAGGGGGGATGTGTGGGGTGGCCGGAGCTGACTGACCCTTCACTGGGAAGGAGACTTCCAGAAGTAGATGCCTTATAGGCAGGAAAGAGAAGGTTTGAGCTCAGAGAGGGTTTGGAATCTTGAGTTTTGTCTTTGTTAAGAAGGACTAGGTCAGGTTTGAGTGAGGAAGAAGAGAGCTGGTAGGTTAGCATTAGTGATTAAGTACCCTAGTCTCGAGCCAGTTGGAAAAGCCTCCAGATTGGGCCGTTATCATCCGCTGGGCAGAGGAAATGGCCACTCGCTGGACCACACGTTAGGCCCTCAGTGAGGAGTTTGGAGACCCTGGCTCTGGGGCAGACATCTGTCTCCCAGGGTTCCAGCTGGTTTTCCTATCCACTGGCTGCCAGTGCAGAGCCAGTCTCAAAACTTTGGAATTCATCCAAGGCCCACTGCCCAAGATACAGTAGGGACCCCTCTCCCCTCTACCCCCACCCCATCCAACAACTGGAACCTCCTCCGGACCCAGGCTCCAGCAGGCCAACGGAGGAGAAAGACCCTGGCATTGGCTCTTCTGTTCATGTGGTTCACCAGTGTGCCCAGCCTGCCTCCCTGATGTACTTGGGGAGTCAAGGGCAGGCTCAGTCATGGGCATACCTTTCCCCCTTTATAGTGGCCTGGAGTCCAGGCACACAGGCTTGAGAGCTTGGGGACAGGGGCAGAAGGATACACAGAGCCAGTTTCTAAATTCTTTCATCCAGGACACAGTATAGACAGTGAGATTCACTGCCAGGGGCCAAGAGGTCTACAGGAAGGAGGAGCTTCTGGGGAAGGCAGGTGTGAGTGGCAGTGCCCAAAGCATGGCTGGGTGTGAACAGGCCATGTCCCCTGGCCCCTCACAGGGAGGCCAGTGAGAAGGGCATCGGCTTCAGTGGTCAGGGCCAGTGCTAAAAGCCTCTAGGACCAACTGTGGTGCTAATCTCCATGTTCTTGACGTTGTTAATAGTGATTTTAAAAAAGAAAGAAACTTCTCATCACAAAAATGCAGCTTCCCTGGGGAAAGAACCCAAACTACCCAGGTGTCCCTTGTCACTTCTTTGGGACTCTGTGGCCCACAGAAAATGCTGTCTTGGCATGCTTCCAGACGGTAAGATTTGGGTGGTTTTGTTTTATATTTTATGTTTACATGCATCTTCTATTTCCCTGAAAACGAAATAAAGTTTTTGGCCTTTTTAATGGAACAGAAACCCTTTATTTCACGCTGCTGCCAGGGAAACCCTGCCAACTGGAGAGCCAGCGCCACAGCCCTGAGTGCAGCGAGCGCCCAGGGCCTGGTGTCACCTGAGGGCAGGCCTTGCACCCTCTAATCCTCACCTCCTTTTTCTGGACTCCAGCACAGGGCCATGGGGTCCTGGTGGGGCAGCAGCCATGGCTGTGCGAAACTGGGAAGCCAGAGGATCCTTCCAGTGGAAGAGGGGTACGAGCTAGTCCCGTCCCCAACACTCCAAATAAGGCTGCCGCCAACCCCTACCCCCACCCCCCAGGTGTACTCAAGGTCTCCCTCCCCAGCTGTGCCTCTCCCAGGGTCCTCGATGGGTAGGCCCTGCACCGGGGAGTTAGCACCTCTCCTGCTGACCTGAGCAGAGACTGGCCACCCCTCCATTGGCCCCTAGGTGGCACTGCCTGCTCCCAAAAGACCTCTCCAGGTCTGGGCACTGCTCAACCTGAAGAGGAAGTTGAGGGCCTTACTCCGGCCCTCCACACCCTGCATCCCAGAGCCCCAGAACCACAGGCCCTCTTAAAGACGAGGTCTTCTTCCTCTCAACGTGTAACAAGGCTCCCCGTCAGCCTATTCAAACGGAGAGTCACACTCTAGTCCCCACAACCCAGGCAGCATCCAGAGCCAGGCCTTGAGCTGACTCCCCTCGGACCCAGGATACCTGACCATGTGTGCGCACACACAGCCCGCTTCCCCTCCCTCCCTCCTTCCACTGCACAGCACAGCCCTCAGGCTGGTACAGAACCACCTTTATTCACAATCACAGAGACTCGGGTTCACAAAGGGGGTGGGGGGCTGCCCCCACACTGACAGATGAGACACATGGCTTCCTCTTCCCAACCGTCAGGCCACCGAGCCCCTGCCTTTGCCTGACCCCTGGTCAGGTGGGGCCACTCCCCAGCCTCACCCCCACAGGATGTACAGGTCTCCTGGGAAGAACAGAGCTACCAGGACCTGTGTCTTGTCCCCAGAGGCACCCTGCAAGGCGCAGGCTGGCATCCCTAAACCCAGGACTCTCCTGTCATACCACCCACTGCAGCTTCTCTCCAAAGGACTCCCCAGCACCACGCTATCACCCCGACACTCCCACCCTCATTTGACAGGGGGATGCTGAGGCTCAGAGGGGCGCTGACCTGGCCGGATCCAGAGTTCTGGTGCCCTGACACCTGGCCCCATACAATCAGGACAGGGCAAGCGGGCGGGCAGTACTGTGGTGTGTGATGGCTGTGCCCAAGAGGAGGGGGCCTTCCCTTATCCCAGGTCTGGGAGTGACGGAAGGCTGGCCCCTTCCTGGCTTATCTTCCGAGGCCTTTCCTTAGACCTGGCTCCCCAGGCCCTGGCACTGGACCCACTGGCATTTCTGAGCCACCTTGATGAGCCTGCTCCAGCCCAGAAGTTGGCACCGAGGGCACTCCATCTCTGTGCTTTTATGCAAAATGGGCATAATTCTTCAGGCGCCCTGCCTGCTGATCCTGTGGAAGTTCCAGTGCATGGTGTGCAGGGCTGGCTCCCGGTGCTCCCCAGGGCTGGGGTCTGTGCACATCTGTGAAGCATGACCTGCTTGCCTGGCGCCCCACTCACCCAGGGCAGCATTTCTAGGAGCGCAGGTCATGGAGACTCACCCCCCACCCCATACACACACACAAACAACCCACAAACCTGATAAATAAATAAATTAATTAAAAGGAGAAAGGCTGATCTTACCCCAGGGAGTTTCCCTCAACAGCCCCGGCCTTCGGCCCCTCCCTAGTAAGCTCCAGCCACCCTGCAGGTCAGCAGGCTGGAGAGGGTGGCAGACCCTGACCGAAGGCAGATCCCACGCCCCGCAATCTCAGGGCAGCGGCGGCCAGAGAGATGACTGGGACAGAACAGCCATGGCCAGGAGGGGGTGCCCCATCCCAGTCAGATGGGGCCAGGACCTCGGGTCGAGCCTTCCACAGCTTGCCCCGGGATGAAGGGCATCCACTGACCAGTCTCTGGCCCCTGGCTGCCAGGCTCAAGTGACAGGGAGAGGACGAGGAGATGGCAGGGGTGCTGTTGGGCAGGCTGTGCGCTGTGGCAGGGCAGCTGGCTGAGGGAGCCACAGGAGGCTGGGAAACATCCTCTCCCCTCACCAGCTAAGCCGCAGCTACCCAGAGGAAAGTCCGTGTGCTGGACTTCTGGCAAAGGGGCCAGTAGACTAGCCGGGCCTGCCAGAAGTCAGCCTCAGATGGGGGGAGTCGCTCAGACAGGGACCCTTTCCTTGCCTCTCGGGAAGTCAGGTGTCCAGATGGGAAGTAAGTAGGGCCTCTCCCTTCCCTCTGCCAAGAAATCCGGCCCTGCCCCACTGTCCCCCACCTCCCTGCCTGACATCCCCTCTGTGCCTCCAAACCTCAAGGGGGCTCAGTTTCCCGTGTTTAATGGAAGAGGGAAAGAGCTTCCATCCAGAAGGGGGGCGAGAGGGGCTGTTGAGCGGGTGCTCCGCTGAGCTCGCAGGCGGCTGGGCTAGGAGCTGCGGTAGGTCTTGATGATGTCCTTGATGGGGCGGCGGCAGATGGGGCAGCAAGCGTGCAGGGCTTTCTTGAGGCGCAGGCCGCAGGCGTAACAGAGGCACATGTGACCACAAGTGTAGATGACCGTGTCCACCGCGTGCTCGTAGCAAATGGTGCACTCGTCGCTCCACTGGCCCAGGCCGGGGGTCAGGGGTGACTCAGGCAGGCTCACTGGCGAGTTGGGGGTTGTGCCTGGGAACAAAGGGACACCAGTCAGGGGAAGGTAGGGTTCCAGCAGGCCCTGGAGCAGGGCCTAGATTCCTGGAGGGGAAAAGCTTCTTGTCCCATCTGCATGTTTGGGGATGGGCCTGTTTACCAGGACGACCCCTGCTTCCTTGGCAAGAGAAGGGAGAGGCTTCCTGGAAATGCCTCCTCCGGGCCCACTCCACCCCCAGACCAGACAGCGACCCAGAAAGTGACCCAGCTAGGTAGGGCCCAGCATGTCCCAGAAGCACCCTCATCCTTGGGGGCTCAGGCTGCTCCTGTGGAACTAGGGGCAGGAGCGGGGCTGGCAGCACACTTACCGCCAGCAGAGCTACCCAGAGGTCCCAAACTCCCGGTGCTGAGCAGGGAGTCGGAGAGGCGGCTCCCCAGGGCACTGGGCGAAGTGGGCGTGGAGGCAGGAGAGCAGGGGAGGGAAGGGATGCCCCGCTCCGTCAGGAGGGTGGAGCCTGGGAAGGAGTGGGAGGAACGAGGAGCTCAGGATGAGTTCGCAGAAGAGGGGGGAGGGGTAATATTGCTGGACTGACTGCCTGGGCTCAGGGCTAGGGGTTTCACAGGCTGCAGCCCTTGCCCCCCACCCCCGGCAATCTGTTCCACCTGCAAGGTCTTGTTATAGCCACAGTCTCTAAAGTAGCCTCCTGGTCCTCCCCGGGGATCCTTTGAGGCTAGGCTTTCCCAAGGCAGTAAAGGAAGCCATCAGTCCTGCTTAAGAGTTCTGGGATCCCTGGCCTGTCACCACCATCACCTCCCACCTCTTTCCCATCTCCCGCGCTTGTTCTGGGCCTGCATTCTGCCCCTCCACCCTCCCCTCAGCTCCTCTTCACCCTTCTTTCCTTCCTTTCCTGGATCCGATCCATCCTTACTTAGGGGCACCAGGCATGGTGCATACAGGAAGCTGGGAACAAACTGCCCCCCCGCCCCCCCGGCCCTCTGAGAACCTCAGCCCCTGCCCTGGGCACCCAGGTCGGTGCAGCCCTGCCCAGCCTCACTAAGCTTGCAGGCCGCCAGCTTCACTTCCTCACGCGGTGCCCTCATGCACCAGCAGGGACTCATTCACCCCAACATAGTGCCCTGCACACAGACACCCAAATCAACCCACTGCCACCCAGTCCGAGTGACCCTGTAGGGCAGGGAGACTGTGTAATCTTTCCCAGAAGCAGCCAGCTTCGTCTTTCTGTCAAGAAGCAGCTGGGGAGTTCGAGCTGCTGACCTTGGGCAGAGCAGCTCAATGCATAACCCACTGGGCCACCATGGGGGCCGGGCTGGGCCACCTAGTGCCATGCCCACTCACCGAGGATGCGGATCTGGGTGACGGCCCCGTGCAGACTGAAGAGCATCCAGAGCGGCTGTGACGCGTCCACGCACAGCTGCATGCCGCCGGCTGCACCGTTGTGGCTGAGGTGCAGTTCGCCGTCGGCGTTGACCACCAGCCCCAGGATGTCGCCGCTGTGCAGGGGGCCCGGCACGCGGCACACGGCCCAGAACTCCTTGCGGTCCACCAGGGCCTCCGGGCTGAAGGGCAGGTCCGCGGGCCGCAGCGTGCTGGGATCGCACGTGGTGACTCCGAAGGAGAGCGCGGCGGGCCGCGCACCGCCCGAGCGCGTGACCTTGACGAAGATGGTCTCGGCCACGCGCACGGGGCGACTGGTGAAGACCAGCGCGCGCTCGTCGCGCCCGTGCTCCAGGCGCGCCACCGTCTGCTCGTCCAGGATGCGGACGTGCGCGCCCGCGCGCAGCGGGTGGAAGCGCAGGTCGCCGTCGAGCTGCGCGGGCAGCGCGCGGCTGTGCTGCGAGTTGAGCGAGTTCTGCGGGATCGGGCAGCCGGCGGCCGGCGCCCCGTCGGCACCGTCGGCGCCCGCGGGCACGTTGAGGTCGCACAGGCTCACCGAGAGTCGCGCCTCGTCCGCCTCGCGCCGCAGCGACGGCCGCCGCAGGGCGGTGAAGGAGCGCGGCCGGAGGCAGTCCGGGAGCACCAGCTCGCTGTCTGCGCGGAGCCCGCGGGGCCGGCGACAGACAGACAGACACAGAGAGAGGGGCCGTCAGGCAGGCCGCCCTGCTCATGGGCCAGCAGACGGACAGCCCACGCTCGGTCTCCGGCTGGCTTTAAAAGCCTGCACCATTAAAACGCTTACCAAATTTGCAATGGCCTAGAAAACGCTTATGACAGTAATGAGAAAGGGCAGGATAGGAGTTTTGTGTATCCTAGGCATTTAACTGTTTACACACAGAAATAAGCTGGGAAAGCCACCAAAAGTGAAGGCCACATTGCTTCTAGATAGTATGCGTATGAGGGTTTTCTTTGTACATGTTTACGGACCTATTTCCTACAATAAATGTATGTGTGTTTTCCTTTAACACTAAGCCCTTTCTCTTTATTCCCAGCACCTACAAGAGCTCCAAGCACACAATAGACAGCCAGTAAATATTTGTGGGTGGGTGGGTGGGTGGATGGATGGATATGGATGGATGGATGGATGGATGG